ATATATTTAAAGTATTAATTCAAAAGAAAAAATACTAGAGATTTTTGACTATAATTGTTTTATATTATTTTTAGTAACTAAACTATTATTTAAGTAAATATATTATTAATAGTAATATCTAGTATAATACTTTAGTTTTCATACAGTATATTAGCCAAACAAGTAAAGATTTATATTAAAGATTAAGAAGTTTATAGAGTATTGATATATACTGTAATATAAAGAACCTGGGTAGAAAGCAATACTCTTATTAAACTACTTAGTTTAATTGTTAAAAGTTAAATAAAAGTTTTTGTAAACATATTATTAAAATAAAAAACAGAGTGAAAATCTTAAAATAGTATATAAAAGCATAGATAGTTTAATGATAATAATTAAAAAAATTGTAAAAATAATAACTGCAGGGGTTATAAAAAATTTAAAAATAGTATAAAGAAAAGATATTAATTATAAACTATGTTTATATTATAAATACATAAAGCCAAGACACTTGGCTTGTAATTGTCTACTTCAAAAATTTAGTAAAAAAAGTTTAGTAAAATACTCAAAAGTAAGCAATATAAGATTTATAAAATTTGTAAAAATAGAAAAAAAGTAGAAGTAATAAATAATAATAGTATTAAAAAATATATAAACAATAATTAAAGATGTAGTAAAGTTGTTTAGAATAAACCAAAAATTAAAAAAAAATTAAAAGTTAATTTAATTAATACAAAAACTAGATTAATTATATATATAAAAATATTAATAGCTTTGGTAAGTAGATTTTAGCTATGAATAAATAATTTGTATATCTAAAGCTTTAGTTCTAATACTAATATATAATATATATGTATTTATAATACTGCTATATGTCAATTTACTTAAGTATTAATAAAAGTTTAGAGCAGATGCTATATTTAAATATTTTTCTAAATATTAAAAATTATACAAATTGTTATATAGTCTATTTTTATTTATATTAATCTAATTAATAGTGATATTAAAAGAGATTATATTAAATATTGATATATATAAAAGAGGTTTAATATATAAAAATTTGTAAAAATTTATCTTATAGTTTAGGTTGATATTAACAAGAGTAGACTGTATTTTTTTTTTTTGCTTTTTCTTTTATTATTATTTTTTTTATTTGCTTCTTTTTATTTTTTTTTTTTTATATAAATAATATAATTAAAATTTTTTTTAAAAAAAAAATATAGTTTAATATAAAGCTATTTTGCTAAAACCTAATTAATAAAGTTAAAAGTTTAGCTTTTATAAAGCTAACAAGCCTTTTGCTTAATATTGTAATGTAGAAAACCTTAGGGTATTAACTATATTGCTTAACTTAATATACAAAGAGTAAGAAATATGTATAGACAAAGATAAAACAAAAGACAAAACTATTACAAAAGACAAAAGATAAACCAGAAAAAAATACCCAATAAAGAAAACAAATACAAGACAAATACAAGACAATAATACAATAAAAAGAGCCTTTACAATATAATAAATAAAAGGGCAAGAGTATACACAACATAGTGGGTATATAACCAAAAAGAAATATTAGTTTATTGGATTTAAAGTTAAGAAAATAGGAGACAGAACCTAACCTGCTTTAGAGAAAAAGTCGAGATTTATATAGCTTTAGAATTATTAAGAAAACACTACTACTATATTATATTAATAAAATATATTAAAATACTTTACTAAGATACTATAGTAAGATACTATACTAAAATATATACTATACTAAGATACTATAGTAAGATACTATACTAAATTCTAAATATATATTTAAATTCAAAATAGTAAAAATTTTGCTAAGAAACTAATAGTATAAATTTGAACTATATAATCTATACTAAACTATAAATAGTAATTTGTATAATTAACTTAATAAAAATATACTAATATAATAATATATTAAATAATATAACAAATATATTTAGTGTTTAGTACAATCAAACAAAAATTTGATAGTTAAATACTTGTTAATACTTATGTTTAAATTAGATATCAAACAATTGCAGATTAACTAAAGCTAAATATATACTATTGGTTAATATACAATCATTTGATGTCTGACTTAATTACAAGTATTAACAAGTATTTGACTGTTAAATTTTTGTTTGATTATTCTAAGCACTACATATTAAATATTTTTAAAACAATTAATACTAAATTTTATAAAATATAAATAATTTATCATGGTTTTCAAAATAGTTAGAAATAATAAATAAATATTTTTTTTAGAGTATACAGGTACACATGTATACACAATTATTTTTTAAAAATTTATATAACTTTTGCATATTTTATCCACCTCTCGCATGACTATGCATATTTTATGCACCCTTGCATAATTATGCATATTTAGACATATGGGGTGGAGTCAATAGAAATAGGACAAATTTATCTAATAAATTTGTCCCATTTCTATTGACTTCACCTCATATTTATGCATAAATATATACAATTATGCAAGGAGTGCATAAAATATGCATAGTCATGCGAGGGTGCATAAAATATATAAAAGTTATATAATATAATTTAAAAAATAATTGTGTGTACGTGTGTTCCTGTGTACACTAAAAAAAATATTTATTTATTATTTTCAACTATTTTGAAAACTGCGATAAACAAATAGCTTAGCTATATATAAAATATATTATTTTATAATAAAGATATTAATAAGACTATTAAAAAATTAATAATAAACTAATATTTCTATATCTCTTTTATTAATATTTCTATACTTTATATAAATTATTTTTTTAAAACTTTAATCAAAAATATTTTAACAACCACTTGATTAAATTAATAATTTTTTTATTTGCATTTTATAAATTCATAAATTCAAATAAAAAAGATTTATAAAATTTAATTAGATAGTTGTCAAGATACTTTAATTAAAGTATTAAAAAAAATTTTAATATTTATCAAAATAATAGCTATAGCAAAATTTTACATAATTTAATTGAAGATATTATAATAACTATCTAACCAAATTTTATAACTCTTTTTTATTCAAATTCTATAAATCTATAAATGCAAAAAAAAAAAAAAATTATCGAATTTAATCAAATAGTTGTCAAGATACCTTCGATCAAAGGTTTAAAAAATGATTTATATAGGGTGTAAAAATGTTAAAAAAATAGGTGTGAAAATATCAGTTCTCTTAAAAAATTATATATATTAAAAGATTATTTAATAAATTTTTAATTCTAAATACTTTTAAATAATTTAAAAAGTTTAAACTTATATTGTTTTAATTTCTAATATTATAATATTTATTTAATAAATTAATATTTATTATAATAATTTTAAAATTTTGTAATTAGATTTTAATAATTTTAAACCTGTTAAATTTTTTTTATTTTAAAAAAATTATTTTAGTAATTAAATTATTCAAATTAATTAATAGATCAAAAGCAATTTATTATTAAACTATTAATAAATTTATAATTTAAACTAAAAAAGTTTTATAATTTTAACCAGAACTTGATAATTCTAGCAAAATTATATAAATTATATAGTATCTAACACTCTAGCTAACTTACTAAAAATTAGCTAATTTTTGTTAGTTTTTTTAAATCTTTACCTTAAACAAATCAAAAAAAAACATACAAGCCTTGGTAGTTATTTAGTTCTGCCTTAAAAGAACATCAAACACGCATGAATATCTTGAAATTGATAAGCATAATCCAAATCAAGAAGAAAAAGAAAAAAACCACCAAATTATATGTATGACTTATACATAGATATTCACACATTCTGGGACTATAATTCAAGCCATGCCATATTTTACACATTATTTTTTGATTGTATATCAAAGACGAGAACTTGATATTATTAGATCTTGGCCACGTTTTGGTATAATAATTTATGATTATAACAATATCATACAAATCTAATTAACATAAATATTCAATTATCACTTTTGTGCTTTATACTACTATCCGTATATTATGATGGCAACAGATGAATTTAAAGATGATATTATACCGCCTTTTCCAAATTTTAAATCTCATGGTTGATTAAATAGAGTCAATTCTACAAATTCTAAATAAACAAAGTAGGCCAAAGTTACAACCTGATGGAACTAATAGAATAAAGGTGAATTGTGGGCCTGTGGAAGACGAATAAAATAACCTAAAGGAACAAAAATTGGCAAAAGGAAACAAGTAGTAAAATTCAATATTCTATAAGAGATTATAATGTCGATTATGATGATGAAAAGGATTATGGTAATGATTATGATGACTTCTATGAATGTTTTTAAAATTATATATCTTGCTTAACCAAAAAGAAATGATTTAGTTAAATTAACAAACTCATATGTACAGAGTTTATTATTTTTGTACCAATAGGATATACATTTAATACTTTGAAGGTTGTGTAAATTAATTTTAATGATATATTTAACGATGTTAGCAAATAACCATTAAATTTTATTTGCATAAATCAATTTATTTTTTTATTAATACGTATTATACGTCAAAAAAAGCAGGAATTTATAATTAATCAGAAATGTATCCACTGTTATAATAAAGAGAATCATAATAATAAAGAGAATTTCTATTTAGCGAACTAAGGGTCTGTTGTTTTGAATAAAAGAAGAACCACCATTAAACTCTTATAAAAAAAAAAAAAAAAAAAAGGCATTAAAAAAGAAAATACCTTCATGTATACTTTGATATCAAATTTGAATGGCCTACTTCCAAAATTTGCTTCCACCCGAGCATTTTGGCTTCTCATTCCTATAGCTGGGTATAATATTTCAAATGGATCGAATGAACAGGCGTTTCCTAGATTTTTTTTTTTTTTAAAAAAAAAATAAAAATAAAAATTGGTTTCGTGAAAAAAAATTTTTTAATGAACTTCCATAATACCTAAATTGATGCCATTTTTAGTAAAAAATATTGTCCTAGAAGAAAAATTTATGCCACAGCCAATTGTGTCTCCTGTTGTATAAGTTGGTCCGTATTCGAATCCAAATCCCCGCTCAAGAAATTTCAGGCCATCATCACCGTGGTAGCCTCTTGAACCTGGATCCCATCCTAGTAATGAAATGATTTTTTTAAATATTAAAGAAATTTTTTTGTAAAAAAAAAACTTTTATTAGTACAAACCTACATGTCTTGCAAGAGGAAAGTCTGGCGTTGCAATACCAATCGATATTAAACTTTACAAAATTATTTTTAAATTCAATTTATATCAATACCCATATAACAACCTTTTTTTTTTTTTTTATTGAAAAAACTTACTCGCCATTTCCACCATCCAAAATATCAACCTCAAAATAATAAATTCCCGTTTCTTCCGGAATAGGATGATTTGCTCTAACTGCTGCAGCTATCCTGTTTCCTTTTTTCCATAAGATTCTTAATTTTAATTATATACAGTATATATTTTATGATTCACTTCTTTAAACAGTTACCATTATATCTAACCGAAAGTAGATTATCGTCAACTTTCAGGTCTTGAGAACAATCATCTACATTCCAACAAGTAGGTATTGGATCCGGATCATTTATTTTTCTCAGTAAAGAATCGTTTAAATAATCTGGAAGAAAATTTTCTAATTCATCTTTCTCCCCTTTAATATTAGTATTGTCAACGATCTCTAAAGATGTTTGCATTTTTTTTTAAAAGTAAAAAAAAAAAAAAAAATTAATTGTTTCGGAAAAATTGATATTTATTAATACAGTAATAGGAAAAATCAGCATACAGTTGTACGTACGTATTTAACTGAGATCATCACGGGAACAATTAATACATGAATTTCATTGGTTAGCATTATTATATGAATGAACTTTAAATTTCGTCATGAAGAAGTCATCTTGAAGCTCACAATGATGACATAAAAAATGGCTAGGGTTGAAATTACAGCAAATCAGTATAATATAGACCGAATTTAAACTATACCATACCGATACTAATTAGAAGTAATTCCTAATCCTAATAAAGTTATAAATAAAATAAATAACATTGAAATCGTAGATTACGATGTCATTGTTAAATTACGTAATAGCTAAGAAATTTACATCATTTTCTCATATTTTAGAATCTATAAAAGCCATTAACTTTTGTTTGGCATTATATCTACTTTGCAGTGTGAACTTTTTTTGCCTTTCAGTAATAACGGTAAAATTCATTAATGAACTATCATTTATTTGCAAACAACCATATTACTTATTGATAATTTTTGGGTTATACTTTTATTAGAAATATCGTATCAGTAGAAAATGCCTGTAAACCACCGTTTTTTAACTACACAAAACCGTGCACGTGCTAAGATTTCAGTTCACGATCCATTATCATTAACTGGCAGGTTTAGACATGCTATTCGTACCTTACGACCTGAAACAATTCCAATGGTGGTGGTTGTTAGTGCAGGTCTTGGCGGTGGTGCTATCGCAATGATACACAAATTGTGGACAGATCCACAATTGAGAAAGTTTCCTGCTTTTGAGCATAAGAAATAATTAATTATAGTAGTGTAAAATTTTTTTGTGCAAATTTAAAAAAAAAACTTGCATAATGTATAATTAGTTTTATTTTTATTTCATTTTGAAAATTCTCTGAATGAAATAGCATGTAATTTATTGAAAAAAAATCAATGATCTGGTTTTATATGGCTTAAGAAGTTATAAGAAAATTAAATTATTTTGGCTAATCAAGAAATTTATAAATATTTTTATACTATTGATTTTTTTTTTTATATAGAAATTTAATATATAATTTTTATTGATTATATGTTTTCAAAATGAATCTACATAAAGTGTGGAGTATAGTTTATTGCTAATAATGCGCAGTTCACAGTATGCCATGATATACAGATGTTAGACATCGATTTCAAATAATTGAAGTTTTTTTGTTAAAAAATTGTTAATATAATACATAATAGATCATTCAAATATGATCGTCTTCCAAGGTTTTGAAAATCAAGTTTGTATGTCTGGTATCCCACAAAAATTAACCAATAAGATCTATTCAAAATATAACAAATGAAAAGCATTAATCAAGAATTTGTTAAGGTAGGTACAAGAAGTAATGGTTGTCGCTATCTACTTTTAAAATTTAGGACTTGGATATTTATTTATTGAGAATTAAAATTAAAATTTTAATTTAAAAAAAAGTTTATTATATATATTAATTAAAGAACCATTTATACTATTATTGCTAATACTATTATTGAAAATTCAATGTGTTGAATGGTATTTGATCAACACGTTGAATTTTTAATTTTAACCAGTGTTGGTCTTCTGAAGAACCTAAATTTAGTTACGATGAGTTATCTAGTAAATTCAATTTGATTAAGTAGATATTGATTAAGTAGATAACCATATTCAACTCAAAAAAGCATAAAATTATTAGCGTACCGAAAATGATAATTGATTATACAAGTATGAAAACGACTTAGGTGTAAAGAATTTTTCCTTTTACAAACTGCAAGTACTATTAAGATTTTTGTATCCAGGTTCTAATTTGTTTTGTACTACTTTTCTATATGCTCACTTATCGTTAAAATAAAAATAAACTAGCGCGAAAAAAGGTTTACTCTAGCCACAAATCACATTTTTGGGTGGGTTAAAATAGAATTTTGTATATCTTTATAAGCTTCTTAATTAGTCTAATAATTAAATTTTTTAATAACTTCTTAAATTACCAGATAAATAAAAGATATCAATTTTTTTTAAATAAAATACGTACTATATATTTTATTTCAAAGAATTGGTAATTATTAGAAAGTATATATATATTTATTATAAATTACAATTTTAAATAATTTAAATTTATAATGAATTTTCAAAACAGAATAAAATACAAATTAACCATACAATAAATACAATAACTTATGAATTTTTAAAAATGGAATAAAATACAATTTAATCATATGCATATAAAAATTTTAAATAACTATAATTAATTATTTCTTATGTTCAAAAACAGGAAACCTTCTATTATGTTCAAAAACGGGAAACCTTCTATTATGTTCAAAAACAGGAAACCTTCTATTATTTTCAAAAGCAGGAAACCTTCTCAATTGTGGATCTGCCCACAATTTATGTATCATTGCAAAAGTACCAGCACCAACACTTGCAGTAACAACCACTACCAATGGAACTACTTCAAGTGGCAAAGCACGAATAGCAAGTCTTAACCTGTCAGTTAACGATAATGGGTCGCGAATTGAAACCTTAGCACGTGGACGGCTTTGTGCAGTTAAAAAACCGTGGTTTACTACTTTTTCAGGCATTTTCTACCGCAACGATATTTTTATCAATACGAAAGATTTGTTGTTCGCGAATAAATGATAGTTTATTAAAAGATTTTACCGCTGGTACTATATATATAAACAAAATTTTCTCACTTATCATGCCAAACGAAAAGTTGGTGACTTTTATAGATTCTAAAATATGGGTAAATGCTATAACTTCCATTACGTAATTTCGTTCCTTTTCTTGTGGTGTGAGTATTTATTATACAATAGAGACCTCCTGATTTTTAATATATAGCTGGAAAATTAATCATGCCCACGTAATGCTAACAGCTGATTAGTATGGCGTAGTTTTTTAAATTCAAAAATATGACGCACTTGCAAATCACAAATGTGATGATAAACATTGATTGAAAATTACTAAAAAAGGAATAAATCGTACGTAGAATTAACGTAGAATGTTACGTACAGAGATACGTATATCCCCGAATCCTAACAAACCGCAAAATCCTAATCCTAACCTAACAGCATGATATTTTACTGCGAAATAGTTTGAAATTTTTTTGGGTGGTTAGTCTAACAAATACAATACTGATTTGCTGTAATTTCGCTAGGGTTGTCCAATTGTCATTGATAAAATGTCATTTCGCTACGTATTATAGTACACGTATAGTAATTTTGCAAGTTATACGTACGTACGTGTAAAATTGTATATCGCATTATACGGTACTAACTGTTAGCCAATTGTAGCATATCGATATAGTTCAATTACTATATATCACTATAATATCTAATTTCACGTATTTTTTTAGTCGAATTTAATATACTGTACATTGTCTAATTTCTTTTTTTTTTAATTATATATATATATATATATATATATATATTTGTAATTCAGGTTTTTTGTAAAAACTAATCTGTAAAAGATCATTTAATAAATAATAAAATATAATATTTATTAATAAATTCTTATATATAATATATACATATCAAAAATTTTACAAAAAAAAAATATATATATTTGATACATCTTATTTCTCTTGTTTTATCAACAGCTCTAAAATCTTTTCAATTTTATATTCCATACCTTTAATCTTTTCTTGTAAATCGTCAATGCCAGGTTGAATTTTATCTTCGACTGCTTGAAGATCTTTATTACTACTTCCCGATCCACTACCAACTATTAAAGAAAGTTTTCTATTATGCTTTTTCATTTTTCCGTTAGGTTTATGTTCATGAACACTAGCAGAATCATCGAATAAAAAATCGTCATCATTTTCATCATCTTCATATTGATCATAATCAATACTCCAATCTGAGGTTAAATCGACATCCTCACTGAGCAAAGATCTATGAGTTAACCGATATTCTTCTGCTTTTGATAACCATTGAGTTAAATCATCAGCTTTTCCAACGTAATAAATGTAACGTGGATCTTCGCGTGACGGTCCAAATAGTTTTTCCAAAGTTTCATATTCTGCGATTAGATCTGCCCTATATTTTAAAACCGCATCTTCACCCGATGATTGAGCATCGTCAAATGCACCCCTATTGTTCATTTAAATATCAAAAAAATGAAAATATGTGAAAAGATGTAACATGCTATTATGAATGCGAGTCGTGACTCTAGTAAATTTGACTCGCGATTCGATTAGCTCGTGTCCTCAAACCGAATCGAAGTTTTATGGTAAAAAATATATGACTTGGTTTAGAATCTAGAGTCTGATGAGTCGTCCGATGAGTCGACTAGTTCAGTATTTAAGCCGAGTCAACTCAACTCAACTCGGCTCAACTCGAATCGAGTCATGACCTTCCCTAGAAACATTACTTACGTCATGAATGCAATCAACATATTTTGCATGATTGTGGTAAGTAAAATACTAGCAACTATTTAAAAATAAAAATATTTAAAATTAAAGAGGTCATTTTTTCACAAATTATTTCATAAATTATTTCATGTCTTTTTTTTAAGTACATACGAAGAGTTACTATGTCAATAGGTATAAAATTCCATTGATTAAGTTGATCCCATCTACCATTAATCCAAAAGAAAACACTTTCAATTGATTTCCAAATATTCGAAAAGTAATTATCATTAATATTAAATGGATCGGATGTTTGTGAGACAATAACATCAGGAAATAAATTTGGCGAGTTTGGATCTGTAGCATTTAAAATTAAATAATTTTGTCCGCTAGCAACTAGATCTATTTGAGGTGGATTTCGTAAAAGCAGGTACCTATACATGAAAATAATTGATATGAATATAAATTAAGATTAAACTTTTACAATAATTGTTTTAATAATGACGATAAGCTTACATTGCATGACCTATACCAAAAATAACTATTAACATGAATGCTAAGAATGGCCAAATTTTTTGCAAGATATTCATTATAATATAAATATAAGTTGCTGGACCTAAAGAAAAAAAAGAATATAACGCATATATTTAAGTAAAATGAGAGATGTGAATTTTAAATTGAGATTATTGATATATAATACGTTTAAAATATCGCAACAACAAAAGCTACAAAAAAAAAATAACAAAGGTTAATAATATTTTATAAAAAATACAGAAAATTTAAAGGCATACCGATTGTCCCCACATAATAAGAGCGGTAAACGCCAAAGCAATGCTATACTGTCTTTTGGGAAGTGAATCAGTAGATTCAAACATCACATATATATTCGACGTAACAACCAGACCCATTGGTAGAAGGCAAGACGCCAAGTCAAGTAAGTTGTACATACTAATATATCTAAGGAATCCTTCGCGTTTCATTTGCGAAATCTCAATAACTATTAAATAATATCCCAAATAATAATATAGAAACAGTAAACCTAAATATAAATTCTTATCCATAAAAGGTTCTAAATTCAATCCATCATCTGTCAATCCAGTAAGGAACGCGAATAAGATAGCGAAAACAATATAAATAAAAGCGTGACGTAAAAAATGGCTACGAGCTGTTGACCATTTATAATCGATTATCGCTGCTATCGCAGGATTACTAAATAACTCATCACTATTATCACGACGAATTGCTCGAAGGAATGGACTACAATTTGTGTCTTCAGTGATGGCATATCCACGTGGCCAAATTAATACTTTTAGAAATCGTAATATGAAAGGAACTTTGTTATGATCTTTAATAGCGCCCGGAGGATATACAATGAAATCTAATATAGATATAATATACAGAATATATGAATCATATAAATTTAAAATATATTAATTTTTTTAGAACCTTTATAAGAGTTACCTGGAAGCGGTACAACAAGTAAATTAGTTAACAAGGATGATTGACCACGTTTAATAATATCATAAAATCTGCATTATTTTAATTTATAATAAGCTTAAAAATTATTTACAAAATCAAAAAAAAAAAAAAAATAGTAAATACATATATACCCAAGTTTTTTATCTATGATTGTTTCTTCCGCTTCTCTAGCAATTTCTTGGAACGATAACATGCCTTTTAAACTCGAAATTCTTTGGATATGTGATAAATTTTTTTTAAGTTTTGCCGGATCCATCATTTTCGATTTACGTAAAAGAGCCGGGTAGATACCTAAAGCATAAATAGATTTATAATGTGCTTCAAGCAAATCTTGGGGATTTATAAAAGACATGTCGAGATGTATTTCTTTTGCGCCAAAACATGGTTTATGAAATAATTCTTTTACATAATAATCTGAAATTTTCAAAATAAAGAAATAAAGATTAGAAATACTGTAATGAAACTATTTATATTTATACTTGTTGGCATAATTAAATTCTAGATTTCAAGAGATTTCAAGAGATTTTCCAACAAGTACAATCACATCACGTAGTGTTTATCAAAACATTACCCATATTATTATCATATAATTCTGGAATTGCTTGAGAAACGGAAAACATCCAACCAGCATTATTTATTGCATTATCAGAATAATAATTCAAGAGATATCCAACTATAACAGTATCTTTACGACTATCTCCAGAGTTCTCGATAGCCAGTTGTAAATCACTTTTTTTTGGTACCAAAGGCCATTCATGTAGTCTAGGAAAATGCAAATTTTTTCCCATTTTTGAATTAGTTCCTTGAAAACTTTCGGATAAAATTCTTTTAATCAAAGAAACACATCTTCCACGAATCAAAGATTGCATTATTTCGTATCTAGCATCGGTTAAACTCCAAAGATCTGGGTTTGTTGTTATGATTCTCTTTAAAATATCACTTGTTTGATTAACTATCATATTAAACATACGCTTTTTCTTGATTGATTCTGGTTCATTTCGTCTATAATAAAGATATTCAAGGGCGCTACACGCATCTCTCAAAGTGTGACACATATGAGGCCAATGAATTTGGTCATGTTCACCTGTATCTTGATACGATAAATCTATGAAAAATTCCCCATTACCAATTGAAAGACTTTGAATTTCAAATGTCATATTATCAGGACTTGTCCAGATGTACTCTAAACTTCTCTTATTTGAACCATTATTTTCTCTCCTCCATACTTGTATTGTTGTTAGTCCAATAATTACTTGATGATTCTTATCTTTATTAAGATAAGCTGATAAACGAGGATATTGCTTATAGCGAACCCAAGGCTCTGTACCATGTACAACAATCACATGTCTTGGTTCCTGTTTTGCATCAAGGAATTTTCCATTTTGAGTAAAAATTAGATGATAAATTTGATCTGTTTGTTCTCGAGCTTCCAGAAAATTCAATTGAGTAAGTTTTGACGACGAAATCGGAGGTGGATTCAAAGTATCTTTTAGAGAGGGATGATCAACTATTGACATTACATTTCCATTATCTTCATTAACACAAACAATAATTCCACTAGCGCTGGAAAATTTATGATAAGATTCTTGAAATCTTGCCGGGATTAAATTTTCAGTATCATAAAAAGTTCTAATAGCATTATCCTTTGTACTAAATAAATCCCAAATCACAATAACTGTAATCAATTCCGATGATCCACTATTCTTCTCTTCTTCACCAACTAAAAGTAATTTTTCGTCATTATGAATGAAATCTATTGAGTTTATTCTATAAAGATTTGGAAATATTTTTGTTACAATTTCCAATGTGTTTTCCATCAAATATATCGTTATACTATTAGTACCCCGACAATAAGCCATTAACACGTCATTTTTCGAAACTTCAACAATTGAATATCCATTTGCAATCGAATGAGCTTCTTTTCGTGCATGAAAAGTTTTATGGAGTTTACTAGTTTTTAGATCATACATTTCCACCAAATCTATTTTATAATTTTCTACTATAAAATAATTTTTTTCTATACTCCGATGAAATAATTGTAACTTTGGTTTAGGATCACCAATATCTTTAATAGCATCAATCTGGTTAGAAACAACAGTTGGAAATAAGAAATCTTCTGAAGGTTTGTTTGATTTATTTTGATCAAAGTATCCGGATCTAGTTACGTAATTGTTTTCGATCGTGATTTTTGAGATTCCCTCCTCGTGAATTATCACCAAGTCTAAATAATCACTTGCTTGAGATTGAGGATTAGGAAGAAACCGTATGACTCCACCAATTTCATCCAATGAAGTTATTAATCTATCCTGATACAACATTGAAAGAACCCAAGTACGTGGAATCACTTTGGATATGAGTGAACGACCTTGTTCTACATTATCCAATGAAGAATCTTCCAGAGTTCCACGAGAAGTTGATTCTTTTGCATAGTATTTCCGATTATTATTTTGTTCGAAACACGAAATACCGATTAATGTGTCAAAACGAGTACCAACGTTTATAGAATTGGAAATAGTCAATGACCAAGATAGCCGAGGATTCGATGGGTTTACATTGTTAAATCCTTTGAATTTTATCGTTTTTATAGATTCTAAATTCCGTGTATAACATACATTCAACTCCAAGGTCACTAATAAATAACGTTATCAATTTTTTATCATAATTTTTATTGAACATTTTGATATTTATCATTATACCTGTATTAAATGTAGCAATATTTTGTCCATCCGGACTAAGCGCTATATGATATTTTGGACGTTCGGGATTCGAACTCATTTTGAAACAGCGAGTCCAAGTATTTCAGTGATCTTAGATTTCAAATTTCATTAAACTTTTATCATTTTTATTATCTTTTTTGTAACAATCTTTGGCGTTACTAATGTTACCAGATTTTGTAACAAATCTGGCGTTATTAATTTTACCAGAATAGGTTAAATATATCTTTAGGGAGTAATTGCATAAACGCAACGAATAGAAGGGCCGTTAATAAATTGTAATTGGCTGTTGTCTGTAAATAATTATTCAAGGACAAAAGGTCTAAATTAAATAGTTTTCTAGAATTAGAATCTATAATTGATTGGACTTTCTAGTGTCAGAACGATAAAATTTTACTGCGATGCGTTGTGAAGTATCGATAATACCATACCACTTTACTATTCGTACTTTATAATTTTCTCACGTAACCATATATTACAATATTAGTGATCACAAGCTTTAACATGCAGGCGAATACTAAATACTAAACAAGAAGAATTGAAATTACTGATGAAAATCGTAGACAATAATGTCACCTGGTATAACAAACATTACGAAATAATAAACACATAATTAGAATAGTAACGGTAAATTCTATCTATGTATCGATATAGTTATATTATTAACAATTAAACTTTTTAATTTACTTTTTGTTAAATTGTCTTTTGTATATAAAGATACAGTATATTCGTAATTAACTATTATTGGTTGGTTTTTTAGGTGATCTTGGCCTGAGCTTTATTAGTCATAATTATATTATAATGTGGGAATATAGAATTTTGGAGGTAACTACTCGGCAGAAATATGGCATATTTGCCATATAAGTAGAAGTATCTCATGCCGTACTATATAAATGCCTATGAGTACTGTATGCCGTCATTCACTTTAATTTAGTGGTATGGTATTATCGATACTTCACAACGCATCG